ACAATACATTTGCTGTTCGTTCCACTCATGTTGTGTTACTTTGCTAGCAGCTGGCAAAGTAATTGACCCGCCCATACCAATTTCCCTTGGTTTTCAATCCCTTTTCATTTCCATGCTTAGTTTAGTTTAGCCTGCTCTACCAGAGCCATTTGCCTGCTGCCTTAAAGCTGTCTCTACTTGTATGATGCGCATACTTTTGACTCCCTAACAAGATTCTGATTTCTCAAGGATAGGCCTCTTATCTGTGCTTGTTTTTCATCTCTGACAGGGCCTGGTACTTTGCTGACCTACAAAGCAGGCTAAATGAAATTGAATTTACCCTGGAGAGTGACTCTTTGCTCCTTGTCAATATATTAGAATTTCTCTAAATCCATTGAGGTCAGACAAAAAACCATGGGCTCTAGAGTACCAGGAAGGAGATTGACTAGTAAGTCTAGGGAGCCTCCCTGTTGATCTGGGGGGAGTATTTGCAGTCACATTGTGTTAGGCCTGGAAGAGGACGTTGAGGTTCAAGGGAATTAAGGGCTGTCACCTCACAGAGAGCAAGAGGCAGAGCAGGCATGTGAGCTGTATCCCCTGATGTCCAGACAAGGGTACCTGGAGGGACATCTGTGCAAGTGCTGTAGGGCAGGTCAACTGCTACAGGCCTAGTGATTTACAGAAGCACTAGCACAGTTAACCTGAAGGAAAAGGTGACAGAACAAGAGTGTAGGCCAAGCCGTATGTCTGGGAGCTCTGCAAGACAAAGAGCTCTGTAGAAAGTCAGTGCTTTGGCTGGGCGCAGTGGCTCAAGTCTGAAATCCCAGCACTTTGGGAGGCCTAAGTGAGTGGATTGCCTGGGCAACATGGTGAGACCTCTTCTCTACAATTAAAAAAAAAATTAGCCAGGTGTGGTAGTGCATGCTTATAGTTCTGACTACTTGGAAACCTGAGGCAGAAGGATCGCCTGAGTCCAGCAAGTCGATGGTGGGATGTCCGTGAGTGTGCCACTCCACTCCACCCTGGGTGATGGAATGAGACTCCAACTCAAAAAAAAAAAAAGAAAGTCAGTGCCATGAACATGAACAGTAAGCGATAGCCACTCTCTGTGGGCAGAGTGCAGTGGTCAGATGGTGCTCTGCCACAGCTCAAGCAGATTCCTGTCACCAGTCTGGATTAAGAGTGGCCTGAGGGGATACAACTATGTGTCTACGTATGAATATGGACTTTGACAACACCATGTCTTGATGCACTGAAATGGTTCCTGGGCACAACTATTAGAAAGTCAAGAGCCCCAAGTAAAAGGTCAAGCCTTTCCAGAACAAAGTCAAGAATGTAATACATATTAGAATTAAATATCTTACTGAAAGAGGGCTTTGAGTCCAAATCCAAAAACATATTAAAGTAAATGATTAAGTAACGTTGTAACCATGTAGTCTGCAGTCCTTCAAAACTATGTTATAAGATAATTTTGATGGCCTGAGAAATTACTTATTATATATTAGGTAGAAAATGCAGGCTTTATGATGAAAACAGACACACCACACCAAAACCTCTGGGGTACCATGAAAGTGATACTGAGAAACAAGTTTATAGCATGGCATGCATATAATCAAGAAAATAGAGGGATCTCAAGCAAACAGTCTAACATTGCATCTAAGGGAGCTGGAAAGACTACACAATCCAATCCCAGAATTTGTAGAAAAATGGAAAAGTCACAGCTGAATGAAGTAGACATGAAAAAAATCAAACACATGATTAATGAGACAAACACAAACATCTGGTTCTTTGAAAGAATAAATAAGATTGACAGACTCCTGACCAGATTTTAAAAGAGAGGGAGATGAGAGAGAGAGAGAGAGCGAGAGAGAATTCAAATAAACACAATTAAAACTAAAAATGGTGATGTTACAATTGACTGTGAAGAAATATAACAGATTACCAGAGATTGCTACAAACATTTGTATTCAAGTAAACTAGTAAATCTGGAGGCATTTCTGGCATCACATAACCTACCAGGATTGAAACAGGAAGAAATTAGACCCTAACAGACCAATAACAATCTAAGAAATTGACTCAGTAATAAGAAATCTCCCCACCAAAAAAAGCTTTGGGTCAGATGGTTTCTCAGCGAAATTCTTCAGGATGTACAAATACGAGTTGATACCAATTTTATTGAAAGTATTCCAAACAGTCAAGAAGAAAGGAATTCTCCCTAGCTCATTCTATGAAACCAATATCAGCTTGATATCCTAAAATGTCAAAGACCTAGCAAAAAAAGAAAATTACAGGCCAATTTCCCTGATGAACATAGATGTAAAAATTGTCAACAAGATTCTAGCAAATTGCATTCCAACAGCACATTTCAAGAATTATCCAACATGATCAGGTGAGCTTCATTCCTGGGATGCAAGTCTGGTTCAAGATACACAAAACAATAAACATAATCCTCACATAAATGGGTGTAAAATTAACCACACGATTATCTCATTAGATGCAGAAAAAGCATTCAATAAAATCCAACATCCTTTCTTGATAAAAATCCTCAAATACCTAAGCATCAAGAGAACATTCTAGAACAAACCTGTAGTCAACATCATACTTAACGGGCAGAAGCTGGAAGCATTCTCTCAAGAACTACAAGACAAGGATGCCCATTCTCATCCTTCCTATTTAACATAGTACTGGAATTCTTAATCAGAGCAATTAGGCATAAGAAAAAAATTAGGGGTATTCAAGTAGGAAAAGAGGAAGTCAAATTATCCTTATTTGTAGGTGATATGATTTCATACCTAGAAAACCCTAGAGAGTCTGTCAAAAACCTCTTCACACTGATAAACAACTTGAATAAAGTCTTAGGATACAAAATCAATGTGCAAAAAAAAAGTTGTATTTCTATACATCAACAACAAGCAGGGTAGAATCAAATAAAAAACATAATCCCATTCAAACTAGTCACACACACAAAATAAAAATACCTTGATATCCATCTGACCAAAGAGGTGAAAGACCTTTACAATGACAACTACAAAAGACTGCTCAAAGAAATCAAGTATGACACAAACAAATGGAAGAACATCCCATACTCATGGATTGGAAAAATCAATATCATCAAGATGTCCATTCTGTCCAGGACAGTCTACAGATTCAGCATAATCCCTATCCAATTACCAGCATTATTTTTCACAGACCTAGAAAAGACAATATAAAATTCATATGAAGGTAAAAAAGAGCCCACAGCTAAAGAAATCTTCACCCAAAAAGAACAAAACTAGAGGCATTAAACTTCCAGACTTCAAACTTTGCTACAATCATACAAGTGCAAAAATAGACACATAGATCAATGGAACAGGACATTAAACCCAGAAATAAAACACAGACCTTCAACTAATTCATCTTCGACAAAGCCAACAAAAACAAACATTGGGGAAAGGAAACCATATTTAACAAATGGTGTTGGGAAAACTGGCTAACCACGTGCAAAAGAATGAAACTGGACTCCTACCTATTACCAAATGCAAAAATTAACTCAAAACAAATAAAGGACTTAAATATGAAGGCTCAAACTATTAGAATCTTAGAAGAAAACTTAGAGAACACCCTCTTAGACAATGGAGTAGGCAATGAATTTATGGCCAAGTTCACAAAAGCAAATGCAGCAAAATCTAAAACTGACAGAGGGGAACTTATCAAACTAAAAATTTTTTGCACATCAAAAGAAACCACCAAGAGAGTTGAGAGACAATCCACAGCATGGGAAAAATAAATTTGCAAGCTATGCATCTAACAAAGGCCTAACATCCAGGATCTATCAGGGACTAAAATGGATTGACTGAAAAAAAAAATCCCATTAAAAAATGGACAAAGGACAGGTACAGACACTTCCCAAAGGAAGACATACAAGCAGCCAGCAAACATGAAAAACTTTCAGCTTCCACTAATCATCAGAGAAATCCAAATCAAAACTACAATGAGACACCACCTCATACCAGTCAGGATGGCTATCACAAAAGCATCACAAAACAACAGGGGTTGGTAAGGCTGCAGAGAGAAACACTCCTACAGTGTTGGTGGGAATGTAAGCTAGTTCAACTTTTGTGGAAAGCAGTGTGGTGGTTTCTCAAAAAACTAAAAATTGAGCTACCATACTACCCAGCAATCCCACTTCTGGAAATATACCCAGAAGAACATAAATCACTATATCAAAAGAGATGCCTGTATGTATATGTATATTGGAGCACTGTTTACAATGGCTAAAACATGGAACCAATCCAGATGCCCATCGAAAGTGAACTGGATAAAGAAAATGTGATACTTATACATGATGGAATACAAGCAACCAGAAAGAAGAACAAAACAATGTCTTTTGCAGCAACATAGATGCAGCTAGAGACCATCAATCTAAGTGAATTATTACAGAAACAAAAAACTGAATACTGCATGTTTTCATTCACAAGTGGGCCCTAAACATTGGGCATGTGGGCAAAAAGCCTGGAACAACAAACTTGGCACTGCTAAAGGAGGGAGAGAAGGAGTGAGAGGGGAAAAGGGGCACACAACCACCCATTAGGTACCATGTCCACTACTAGGGTTAAGAGAGGGCTCACTAGAAGCCCAAATCTCATTTGCATGCAATTTGTTTATGTAGCAAATCCTCACACTTCCCAAGCAACTCTAAAAAAAAAAAAAAGATATATACAGTGTGAGCTCAACCATAAAAGCAATATATACAGGAGAGGAGTGACTCAGAATATTCAGAGAGTGTACTAGTGATTTTTAACCTACTCTATTTTTTTCTGTGTTATTCCCAAATTTCCCTGATGAGCATCTACTATTTATAGAGCCTAAAGATAATGGTGTTTTTATGTTAAGACACTTAATTCTATGTTCATAAGGAAATACAAGCTGTTAGGACCATGCTCATTCTCTGTGGCTTTGGAATAAGACTGCTCTGCTCTCCAGAAATGGTCTCTCCAGCCCAGAGGACATCCCATCCCAGGTCTGTTGACGCATTTACTCACATTCTGAATATTTCTGGAGTTGGCCAAATTCTTCTGGAGTGAGAGAGATCCACTGTTCTTCACTCATCTTTAAGCTGGGTGCAAGTGACTTGAGGCCAGGAATGGAGTTTAATTCACCAGACTGGAATCGAGACCTGGCCCAGGGCCTGGTTCATTGCAGGTATGCAGTAGATAAAGCCCTTCAGGAGTCTTCTGAGAGGAATCACGTGTCCACGGCAGCAGCGGGCACCTCTCAGCAGAGGAGAAAAGACCTCTCTTATTTCTCGGGCAACGTCCTCCTGTCTGTAGTCAAGGTAAGTTCAGAAATCCTCTTCCTAAGTAGTAGAAGAAAAGATATATTTTAAATGAGAGTGTTAGAATTTTTTTTTAAATCCCCAAATGTTTTTCACTGAAAGAGCTACAGAGGCAATGGGACAATGGTTTTCCCCTCAGGAGGTCTGAAGAGGGCATAGAGATCAGCACAACTCCAGGCAGTTGTCTGGCTGGGTGGGAGTTGAGTGACAAGTATACCTGTATGAATAGGTGGAACACAAAGTAAGATCTGGGAATTTTAAATGTCTCCCATGAGAGGTGGTATTAGAGCTATCTAAGGGCATCTTCATGGCATGAAAATGCCCTAAGCTGTTTTATACCTCAAAAGTAATTACAGGAATGGTACCCTAGGTGGTGTGATTTGAAAGGTGAGCCATTCTCTTCACTGATTTCTAAATTCCATCATTATAGCTGCTTACTTCCTTCTGGTGAACCACTTCGGAAATTCAAATACTCCCAAGGCTGGTTAACATCTAGTGAATGAAGCAGTTCTCTGTCCTCTAGAGCTAAAAGAGGGAAGTTAGAGGGAAGGCCTAACAGCCTCAAAGAGGGAAGGAAAGGGAAGTGGATTCAGACAAATACTTAGCATTTTTTCCTTAGTGCTTCTCATACCGTGGGTCATTCAATTAGTTCTGTGGTTGTAAAATTAATGCAATGGGTCAGGGCCAGCATTTAAAGACATGAACTAGAATGGGATAGAATGAGATGGAGTTAAAAATATTAGAGTGCATCTACTTTAGTAACGGTACATATTATGTCCTGAGACTTTTCTTTCAGTTATGCATATATATGTATGCTGATCATAATGCGACCATAATATTTCTTATTCTGGGTTGAGGTTAAAAAAACAGTTGGAAAACCATCAACCTCATAGAAGGAGAAATAAAGACCAGTTGAAACACTCATTGAAACCAGTTGAAACAAAACAATGGCTCCAATGTTGCCAAGAACAAGTCCAGGTTTAATAAACCAGGCTCCATCCTGGGGACCGACTTCAAGGCAAATCTGGGGAGCCTGGAGTGTGTGAGCAGTGCTGGATGACATGACCAAATGAAGAGGCTTCTTTGGATAGTTCTCTGGGGCAGTGTATAGACTGAGTGAAGATGCTGAGGGAGAGAGATTCTAGCTATGTAAGGAAGACCTCCCCCAACGAGAACTCTCTGACAGTAGGTGGGAATGCACTGAAAGGGAGTGAGATGCCAGCATCCCTGGAAGCAGGCAAGTTCCACTTTCTTTCCTTCAGTCCAACTGTCCTCTTAAGCTGGTCAGCTGGACTCTGCTATTGGCACCTGCTGCTGTCAAGGTCACCAGTGACCTAGTTGTCAAATCTGACAGGCACCTTTCAGTCCTTCCTTACCTCATTTGCTCTCTCTGTAAACCTTCGCCATGGCAGAAAACTCTCACCTTGAAACTCTCTTGTCTTTCTGAGTTGTTCCTCCTCAGTCTCCTTCAGCCTCTTCTTCTGCCATTTAAAAATGTTAGTGTTACTAAAGACCAGTCCTCAGCCTTCTCTTCACTCTACATCCCTTCCCTGGGGACCTCATCTACCTCCACAGCTTCAGTGATCCCACACACATGCTGTGCCAGGCTTGAGCTCTCTCCTTCACCTGAATCAGAATATTCAGAAGTCATAATACAGATCTGAATTTCTTATTGTCTACTGTGACTCCCTTGTGTGTCCCCAACAGCTCCTCCTTTGCATTCTGGTCATGTCTAAAAGGAGCCAATACCAAAGTCAGAGGCCAGAGGCTCCTCCCCCTTCCTTTCCTGCCAAACCCAGGCACCAATCTGGGAGTTTGACTATCCATTGTGTGTTCCCTCCTCTCCATCACGCTAGCCCTTTCATGAATTCAGACCTTCATTATCTCTTGCCTAGTCTTTGACATCAGCCTCCTAGTGAGCTCCCCTGCGGTTTTCTCTCCTTCCCTCCGTCTGTTTTCTCAATTGCCAACAAGATCACAGCTCGCTCAGTAATAAATTTCTTCAGTGGTTTCTATTGCCTATAGTATAAAACATAATCTTCTTTTTATTATACATAAAGTTGTTTATGATCTGGCTCTAGTTTAGTTCACAAGTGAGGTGTGTTCTTTAGAAACATTTTCCTTTACACCAGGGAATTCAATATGACAACCACTGCTGCTGCTATCATTTAATGAACACTTATTTTACACAGTGCTATATGCTTGACATACATTATCTAATTTATTCCCATAACAAGATGTAAGTTAAGTATTGCTGACTCTATTTAGCAGGTGAGAAAGATGAGGCTAGGTGTTTCGTAAACATGGTGCTTTTGTTTAAGAATGTTTCTATGGCCTGATCATCCTGCACACCTTCAGAAACACAGAGATCTGAGAGGACCCAGAGACACACTGCATAACTGAATAACACTGAACTCAAAGCCAGAAGGCAGGGAATTTGAATCTGAGCTTTGCCTCTCCTTAGCTGTTTGACACCAGACAAATTTTTTCATCTCGTCTACTTTGTTTTTTTCATCTAAAAAGTGAACATGCTAAAAGCAGATTGAGTTGGTTTTAGGCTTAAGTCAGTTAATATATGCAAAAACTATAAAAACAAAATGCCCACCTGGCACAATGCTTGTCACCTAGTGATATTCAATAAATAATTACTGTTATCATCTTGTTGCAAATACAACACTTAGCAATATGGCTTCAACAATCAGCTGACAGTCATAGGGTGGAAAGTCTCCAGTGCTGTGCCATAATTTTCTGAACTTGATCTGATCTGGCTCCAGGTTGTTGGAATTTTGTAATTACTCATCAAACTTGAATCCCCTAGTTTTAGCATTCATAATGATTCTTGCCTGGATTAATTATTACTTTGATAGTGATTTTCTAATGCCATCATTACTTCTGTATTTATTAGAAATTTATTACTTGGGAATTCATTGTAAGGAAGAGAGTTCCCTTCTCCTTTATTTATCTATATCAGCTTATATATACACACGTGTGTGTAGATGTACAGTATATGCTATAAATACCACATACAGCATAAATAAATATAGAATACAAACAAGTATAAACTATACAAATGTAAAAATAAATATACAAATATAAAGGTTAAATATATAAATAAACATATTACATTTAAGTGTAGTACCTATTTATATTCATGGATTCTTATTGTATTCAGTGGGTTATAATCTGTCACTATCTTTACTTTGATTCTCAAATTGTTCCAGATCTGATCAGTGGAAGCTCATTCAAGGTGGTTTCTCATTCTTTATATATATCCTCATCATTCTTTGAGTATATCCTTGTTTTTTGGCACTATAACATGTTTCAGGCTCATCTCATTCTTCTTCAGCTTGAGTGCTAAAATCAGCTATTCTCCAAGGAACACTGATTCCTTTCAACGGAGAATGGTATTGGAAACCAAGGTTTGGACACTAAGTGTGCTCATTGCTGCAGGAGTGTCATGGCTTTTAGGCCCTATTGGGGACAGAACTAGAAAATATACGTGTATGTACACACATCCCATTTCTGTATGTCTATGTTAAAAGCCCCAAGCTCATACTCACACCTCCAACTCCAGGCCAACACTATAGTGTCAGTTGTAACCTTCCTTTTGTTTCATATTTTTAAACTTTCCTCTCTAATAAACTTTGTTTCCATCATCTACAACATACTTATTTGCTCAATGCATAGACAGTAGTTTCAGAATTGCCCATCCATACCTCTGCAAAAAACCAAAGAGAGCTCAAGATTTGTTCTTTTGTTTTTAGCCAACAACATATCCTCAGAACTCTACTTTCAAAAGTTACTTAGGTTAGTTCTTTCCCACTACCATTTGTTTCTGTTTGTGTTTTGTTTCAGAGTGCTTCTCCACTGATTCTTTTGTAGTATGGTTCTAAAAGTAAGAACTAGGTAAAAGGTATACTTGAAGAAGCACTGCTTTCCCTCATTCCTTTTACTCTGTTTCCAAATCCTCTTTTTCATTTTATTCCCACTCACCCCTTAGAGTTTCCAGTTTATACTTTCCTGTGTTTATTTTTGCACAAATGAGAAGATGGGTATCTTATTTCTCCTTCTTTCTTACGCAAAAGTTAGCACATTGCAGATTGTCGCCTGTACATTGTTTTTCCACTTAGTAATATACCCTATGTATCACTCCATACTTGTTCATAGAAGTCTTCCTCATCTAGAATTAAATTTAACTCAGACCTGTACCTGCTTAAAACCTTTAGAGGTGTCTCTTGGCCTCCCGGATAAAGGACTGTCACCTTAGCCAGACCCAGAAGGTCCTGAACCCATGGTGACTCCCCATTCTCACCCTAATTTTCTCCCTCCCCACATGCTCCATGTTCCAGCCAAATCGACTTTGTGTCTACATCCAGCACTAGAAAAGTGCCTGGCATATAGTAGGACCCCCATGAATGTTATATACCCCACATAAATCTGCCATGCCTTTAGTCTACCTGAATGCCCCTTACTACTTCCTCCTCATAAAAAACCACTACTTATCTGTCTGGTTCTTTTTTATAGATTTTCTGAACTTGGAGCAAATTTTCCCATCCTCCTAGCTGTGATCTACAGAACTCGACATATTTCTCTTTTGTGGTAGGTGACAGTCCCATGTGGGAGATAGACACCTAAACTGTTCATTAACATGCAAACTGGTGAGAATAGTGGTACAGATATGCCCAGAGATTTGTGGGGCCTTCCAATATGCCTGAAACAAGCATAGGGGATTAGAGAAAAGTTTCCTGAAAAAGCTGATGCCCCTGCTGAGGCAGGGTAATGAGGTAGATATTGTAAGAATTCAACAAATATTCATGTTATTATATTTGTTGCTCGGTTGTAGCTCAGAGCTTGGCTTCAGAGTGGAAGGAAAAGCTGGAGACCTGAAACACTGACTCCTCAGATGGTATGCCACACAATGGCCCGCCTCTGGTTTCCGCTCTTTGATAGGGATGACAGCTATCACACAGCAGGCTTGCTGTAGCTCATGGAACACGGCACCTCCTTCAGCAGCCTGCCCA